CCGGATCCAGGATCTGGATTTGTTTATAAAACCCTACCCAGCAACCCAACCCAGTCCAAGCCCATCCGGAGGCCCAAACCAACGCCTCAACCCATTTAGGCTTGGCCCATTAGCCTAGCCCAACTGTAGCCCAGTCAATATCAGGGGATCCGGGTCATGGCAGACCCAAATCCCCAATCGATCTATCTTCCATACCCGGTTCCTACAATCAACCCCTCGATTCCCCTTTCAGAAAAATTAAGAATTTCACCTGAAAATTTTCTCGAATTGTTTGTATGTCTACAGTCGAGATGAATTGACAACTCGTATAGCTTCTCTAATTTGGCTTTTAAGCAGTTTAATTTACAGAAATTAAGCTTAAAAGTTTCGTTATGGCGAACAAATGGCCGAACGAACAACTGTGAAATTGATCAGTTTAGAGGCTAAATTTCTAGAAATTGATCGAAAGCTTGTAGCTTAAACTTAGTCGTGCATGATTATATAAAAATTTAACTGAAAAACATTCAGATTTTAATAAGATTTTGATGGTTATTCATTGCGGATCTGAATGTTATAGCGTTTAGGATAAATTTTTCTAATTTTGCAATTTGGTCCCTATATTCTCATCCTTATGCAATTTGGTCCCTGGCAATTCTAATGCTTTGTGTTCGAACCCCTACAAGTTCTATTTCATTCAATTTAGCCCTTAATATTTCAATTAAGCCCCCTCATTTCCTATTTCTTTTTAATTAAATCCTTATGTTGTATTGACAACCCCACAATTTGGGTAATTATAGGGCTGTCAATGGTTGGATTTTAATCCTAATCCGATCCGAATCCGATCGAATTTTAGGCCGTTTAACCGATTTAAAATGTTCGATAGATTAAATCCGATTATAAATATCCGTAATCCGAAATAAGTGGACCGGATATGGAAATTAAGCAATCCGATCCATAAAAATCCGAATCCGAATAATTTAAATAATAATTTTATTTTAATTAAAAATTATATACATTAATAAATACTTTTATATATAATATAATATATATGACATTATAATTAATAATATACTAATTTGTATTGTGAGATATTTTATTTAATAAAAATGTATATTTTTTCTAAACTATTTTATAATATTTTTTTTATTTTTCATAATTTTAGTTTTTCTAGTAGGTATTATTTTTAATAATTAATTATTTTTTGAAATTTCATAAAATACTTGAATAAATTGATTATAAAATTTTCTAAATTTCTAACAATAATACAAATTAAACTTGATAGTTTTATAAAAATTGGAATCTTATCATCACGTTTTTAATATATTATATAACAAAGTTTTTCTTTAACATTCATAAATAACAATTTATTTTTTAATTTTATTTATATTTTAATAAAATAAAAATAATTAAACATAAATCTTACACGAATTTTTATCATTCATATATAATAATTATTTTGATTTTACATATCTTTTACTTATTGATTATTTGATTTTAATTATTGTTAACAGTTATTCGGATCGGAATTTTTTTTTTTGCGATTTCAGATTTTTATCGGATTCGATTCGGTAATAACAAGTAGAAATCCTATAGGATTTCAGGTTGGATTCAGATATATACATTGATAATCGGATTCGGATTCAGATCAGCCTGATTTGATCCGAATCCGACCCGTTTACATACCTAGGTAATTACACTTTCTTAGAATTTGAACAACCACATAGGCATGTTGATAGTGAATAGGGTTAACATCTCTATCATAAATACTGATGTCTATTTGGAGATTGGGGCAATAAAAACCTAACTATATTGATCTAACATAAGTGGGTAGAGAATTAAGTTAAAAAATTTTCAAAACCCATGTAAAAAAAGTGGAAGTCACGGTTGGATAAATGAAAAGTATAATATAATTTGTATACTATATATATATATACACACTATATATATATATATATATCATAGACTTTCTCCTTTGGACTTTTTTGTTGGTTTTTCCAAAATATCCCTCCTTTCACATGTTCAAAATTTTGATACTTCTAAAATTAGCTAGGGATATTTAAAGTTGAATGCTCTAATTTAAAATTTAAAAATAAACTATAATTTGAAACTTTAGAAATCTATAATCATAAAAGTTTTTAGTAAATTTCAAAGTATCTCAGAAGAAAGCACAACGGCTTACTTGAGTGCTAAGGTGGAGTTGTTGACGCTGGTTGTGATTCAATCTGTTAGGATATGTATTTGTGATGTAAGCTTCTCACTATTATCAAATCATTTATAAATTACATATTTTGAATATTTTTTAAGCAATTTATTTTATGAGATATTTTAAAATTTAAGGATATCTTTTTTTTTTTGGAAAAGAGTATAGCAATATTTATGATAATTCTTTATTTTGCGTCTCATATTTCATACTAATGTTTTTTTAAAAAATTTTTTAAAAAATATCTCTCTTAATGTCAAGTATATTCGAAGAGATATTTTGGTATAAAAATATTTTGGTGCTTCTCAATTAGCTAGTTGTCAGCCACCAACCTGATACAACACCCACGTTCAGTTCAGCCTTTTTTAACCCACAACTCACACAATCAAACCCAAAATTAGAGAAGAGAGAAAAAGGATGCTCTGAATTCTTTGTTTTATTGCTGGAATGGAAACCTTCGGATGGAATACAATGGCAAAGAAACAAGCTTCGTATAAATGTTAGATAATCTGCCACCTAAACCACTTGATTACAGGCTTTAATTGTAAAACTATGTTCGGCAAATTCCAAAAAGAGCAACTTCAACTTCAACTCCAGAATAACTAAATATTTATTTGATATTATTTTTCTTTCTCAAGTAAACATAATATATATTTATATATAAATATATATATATATAAAAGAGTATAAATCCTACTTTACTATTAGAGTAGAAAGCGCTTCTAAGTAAGAAAGAATGGTATCAAATAAATGGCAGAGAAAAATTCTGGAGGTTGTCCTCTGGGCCACGTCATGTGTATTGGCCAATTCATCGTCAGACCAGATCAAGGGGCAGGCGGTTCATGTGGTGCCACGTCACATAGTGGAACCCATAATCTTAAACATTTAAGGAAATTCCATACATACCCAAGAGCAGGGCTTCTTGATATCAAATTTTTATCCCATTAGTTCTTTTCGAATTTATTGTAAATTTCTCTCCTGATTTCACATATATTTAAAAAGAGACTTTGGTACAAGAATATTTCCAGACTACTGAACTTAGTTAGTGGAACCCAATCTTAAACATTAAAGAAATCCCAAACGTACCCAACAGAATAGCTTCTGGGTGCCAAATATTTCCTTACCAATAAAAGACTTAAATTATATGACGCCGTTAAATAAAGCAATTCAAAAGTACACGGATTAACTGAATTTGACTGGGGAGAGTTCCATCTCCTGTTCACCTGCAAGTGGAATCCTCGTCCCCCCTCATCCTCTCGCAGTTTATCCTCATTTCCAAATTATTGACCAATTTTGACAAAACAAAATAAATTATTGACCAATCAATTTCCCGCGAACCTCTCCCCCACTCGCTCGTACATGGAAAATATTTGTTACTCTCCATCTCATCCGACTAAGGTTCCCCAATCGGCGACGTAGTGGGTTTGTCGACTTCATGATGGCGAGTGAACTGAATTTTAGAACACGCTGGTTGGGGAAGTTCCTTTTGCGCAAAATGTCAAATAAACCTCGTAATTTAAGCCCCTGCCACCCCTCTTCTTTATTCTTCTCTTTCCAAATTCTCTCTCTAGACCCCGCGAGTCCTCTGTTTGGAATAGAGGCTGCGATTGCGATGGCGGTGCCGGAGAACCTGACTAGAGAGCAGTATGTGTACATGGCGAAGTTGGCGGAGCAAGCGGAGCGTTACGAGGAGATGGTGAAGTTCATGGACAAGCTGGTGGTGGGGTCGACCTCTGCAGGCAGCGAGCTGACCGTGGAGGAGAGAAACCTGCTCTCCGTCGCTTACAAGAACGTGATTGGATCGCTGCGGGCAGCGTGGAGGATCGTGTCGTCAATCGAGCAGAAGGAGGAGGGACGGAAGAATGAGGAGCATGTGGCTCTGGTGAGGACTACAGATCGAGGGTCGAATCCGAGCTCTCGGAGGTCTGCGCAGGGATCCTGAGTCTATTGGACTCGCATCTCATACCCTCGGCCTCGTCCAGTGAGTCTAAAGTGTTCTATTTGAAGATGAGGGGGATTACCACCGGTACCTTGCTGAATTCAAGGTTGGTGGTGAGAGGAAGGAGGCTGCGGAGGACACCATGCTCGCTTACAAAGCTGCCCAGGTTATTTATCAACCTATCTATTTGTTTATCTTTGCCCGAAATTTGCTATGTGAACTGGGAACAACTTAAGGTTTGCAAAACAAAACGAAAAAAACCATAGAAACTAAAAAATTTTGATTAATGAATGTGATTGGTAAAATGTAGGAACTTCTAGAAAAAAGGGTTGACAAAGCTGAAGGTGGTTTTGACGTCAGTAAGCCAAAAAAAAAAGGGTCATGTGATGAAAGGAAATAAGTAAAACGTATTTGTGGTCATTGAAGTGTCAAGTTTTGCGCATTTTCTTTTTTGTGGAGATTCTCCGCAAATATTCCGCAAAGGAAAACAATTTAGTTAGATGGGAGAAGAAAAACTTGAAATTATTCATGGCCTTTTTTTTTTGTGTGTGTGTGTGTGTGTGGCGGGGGAAGGGTGGGGGAGGTTCAAACGCGTCTGAAGAAACATTTCTTCTGGGGCTTTGCATCTTATTGTCCCTTAACAAACTAACCGGATATGGAGTCGCTCTTTTTCTGTTGACCATTTTTTCCCCTGTTTTTCTAAGCAAACCGAGCAACTAGAAGTTAGTAGTGTGCTTCTCATCTTAATTTAATGTCCAAGAGCCTATATTAGTGAGAGGGAGGGAGAGAGAGCCAAACCTGATCCTGTAGCAGCATTGTTTTTGAGAAAGGCAGGTGCAATTCCCTTGTCACACCTCTATCAGAGCTTTAATCTAAAGTAAGCCTGGACTTTACCCCTTGCATCTGTGTGGTGACATGTTGCGAGTCATTTCAGCCACCTGAAAGGAAGCATAAAAAAATTTGGACAAAAATGCAACCCATTAGGAAGTGAGTTTGGAGGTGATTGAGTTTTCAAAAAGTGGGTGCAACAATGAATGCAATGAAACAGTAAATATGCGGAGGAACAGAGAAAGCAGAAAAAAAATATTGTTGGTTATTTTCATCATTCCATTTTCTAATTTATGGTTTTTGATTTTATTGCCGGTTTTCAATTTTGGGAGACAAATTCATTTGGTCAGGGAGATGGATCTATTTTACATGTATAATTGAAGCCAGCAGAGCAGGTTGTTGTCTGAAGTATCATTATGTTGCCATTTTGATTAATACAAAGGTGTCAAGACACAAGGTTTTTGGCCAAACAATATGTTTATGGATAGATAATATTGTTGACTCTGATTGTTCCATTTCTCAGTTTATAATGACATTGCTTGTCATCAATTTTGGGAAACAAGAAGGCTTCCTTTTTCTTTTTTCCGTAAATGGGGGTGGGGAAGGAGGGTAAGAGGCAAATGAGGTTTTTTGAGACATTTTATAGTTGAACCATTGACACTTTTTTGTTGATAGTGGCCTTCACTTAACACAATTGGAGCCAACAGAGTGGGATACTGTTTAAAGAACCATTATGGCACTGTCGTGATTGAAAATCATATATAAATTTTCTGGGTGTGTTTTTCATATAATTTTTAAACTCATTGTTATTGTAGTTGTTTTTGTTATTATTATTATTATTATTTAAAATTTAACTTCTTTTCTCATAAAACTATATGCTTATGAACACCTTAAGGGTTTGGTCCCGATTTTCCACACATCTGTCCCTGATATTTTTGGATAGATAGGCTAAGGGACGGGTCCTATTGGTATGAGTGATTTGAGGTTCATTTTTTATTTTGTTTGTGCCTTAGCGTGAGGGTGTTTGTCTTGTTTATGAGTAAGCCCTTGCACAGCCTCTGCTGTAGGATGCTTTTGGCTTGCTTACTATGATGTTTATAGGCATCATACTAGGTTCTAAACTTGCTTCACCTTTGCTATAACAACTTTATTAGTGACCCAACTTAGAATATTTGATGAGATAGAATCATGGAATTAATTAGTATTTTGACTTTGGAATTGGTGATATATCCTACTTCAATGTAGATGGAGGGTCAACTAGAATTCATTAAAAAGTCTCAAATTGTTTTGGATGTTCAACACCACACCAAATACAAATTGGTGCACAACATGAGATGGACATAATTACTAAGAGCACTGGCTTACTAGAAAAACCTAAAGGTCATTCAATATTGCATTTGAAGTTTGTAATTTATCGTTTTGCAAATTCATTACTGGAGAAGTCCAGGGCATTGTGCGTGTTGTGAAATTTCCTATTTTAAGACCAAAATTGACAGTTATTTGACTTTCAAATCCATGATGCCTCTACGACGTAAAACAAGGTGCAAAATTGATGGAGTGGATCAAATTTTACGTCTTGGAGTCCATCTTCTAATATCTGAAACATTTTTCTGACCCGTGGTTAAATTATTTGATTATCACGTGAAAGATCACTAGCCTTCCAGTTTAGGCCTGTGCCCTGCCCTTGTCTCTTCCACTCTCCCTAGTACTCCTGCCCCCTAGAAGATCCAGATTCTGTTGAGTGTGAATGCATGCACACACACATTCTGCTTATTTTGGTGGGTATGGGGGGCTTATTAATCGTGCTGTCATGTTCATGTCTTACTTTCATTTAGTGAAAAATTATCATCTTGCTGACAATCTATGTTTGATGATTTGAAGGATATTGCACTTGCTGAACTTGCTCCAACACATCCTATTAGGTTGGGGCTGGCACTCAACTTCTCAGTGTTCTACTACGAGATTCTAAATGCATCAGAAAAAGCATGTAGCATGGCAAAACAGGTCTGTATCCTATTTACCTCTTAAAAAGTGGGCACTCATATATCCTTCTAAACACGAAGAAGTGTTTGTTTCAATTTGAATACAGTATTTGCTCTTTGATGTTATTGCAACAAACCCTGCCTGCATCTATTTAAGTTTGGCCATGTATGTTTGTGGTGTTCACTTGAAAAGCTGATGAAAGTAACAATAAATGAATTCTTTTTTGCATGACAGGGGGTTGACATTGAGCATAGTACTGAACCAAGCTTCTAAATTTATAGTTTATACATGAATAATCTTTTATAAAATGTCAAGGAAGGGAAGAGACACATTTTATTCATGATTTCATTTGATCAGAAATTATTATTATCATATACAAACTTTTCTAGAAATAACTTGAAATGGATTAACTTTTTGTTTATGATTTTCATGATATCATGCTATCTCCTATCAGGATAGCATGTATACCCTCATCTGTTGTATTTATCAGTTTGCTTATTTGGTTGCTTCATAACTATCTTCTACTATATGTTTTATAACCACATATAACCAACCAATTTTATAACATACTTGGCACTTGAGACTTGCAGTGATTCTTGTTAAAGTTTATGATGTGTTCATCAGTGTTGGTTCTTGACTTTCTTTAAAGCCTTATCTGTTTGAGAGTTAATTTGACATATTAGTCAATTCATCCTTTTTCCCCCTTCCCCAAAATTTCTTATGTTGATTACATTTCTTAAAATAACAATTACTCAAGAGAATATTAGATCTGTAGTTTTTTTTTTCTTTTTAAATTGACCCTAACCATCTTATCCTTTTACACATAGTTTGCAGTGTTTGTGTATGTCAAACTTAGATCTCTTTGAACGTGTATTTGATACTTGGTTTCTTACCATGTGATGCCATAGAATCTATTTAGACTTCCTTTGCCAGCCTTAACTGCAGGCATTTGGGACATCCTATATAAACAATGCTCATAAAGTAGTGTGTATGCCAGCCTATTACGTGCCTTTTTGTATATATGAGCCATAACATCTCTTCAGCCAATGAGGTGCGCAATCCTTTTGTTTTTGGCCAATGATGCAGGACCTTCAAAGGACCACCACCTGAGAGAATTGTAGCAAAGTTTTCATGAGCAATCTTAGCCAATACCTTATTGCCCTTCTATGTTTTACCTACACAACTTGGCTCTTGACCTCTTTGATGTTCTGGCAACATGCAACCTGTTGCCACATTAGCATGTTGGAGCCGTTTCCACCAACTTGTTCACTGTGAGAACGAGATTGTCATTTGGCCTAATTATCCTTGGGATCACTTGGCCATGAAGCTTCACCTATAAATAAAATCATTCACTAGCCACCTCTTCAACCTCATCCAAGAGACGTGATATGGTTTGTTCTTAAGGCATTGACGTTAGTCAAACTGCTAGCATCAACCAAGCTTTTCAAGGGCTGCATACAAGCCCTAATGGCCAAGGCAAAACCATCATTCTTAAAGGTAGTTAAGTTTCTAATTCTAGATTAACTACATTACCACCATTAGCTGAGCTCTCTCTAGACCTACCAATGCTCTTCAAAGAGGGGAAACCTTCCTCTGTTGTAATCTCATCCTTTTTGGAATGGCATCAAGTGGTGGGGGATATTTGTCCAACGGTTTCACCTTCTAAAGAGATAAAATTTATGCTCCACGCAAAATAGCTGCTAGTCTTCTACAAAAGCTATTTGAACCAAGTTCATGACAAAGGGGACAGAGTCTTCCATCAAACCTATTCAAATCTAGTCTTCCCCACGCATGACCTATATGGTCAATTTATACTCAATTTTACATACATGATATAGTGTCACCTTGTGGTACGCATTAAATCACAGCCAAGCAAGTGGGTTGTATGGCTAGAGCGTTAAGTTAATTAGGCACCGGATGTAGGGCTTGACTTGGTTAACTTTAGGGAGAGACAGAATCAATAAAACTTGGGATGCAATAAAATACTTCCCACATGTGGCAAGTCTATGTTCTTATATCACCTTTGGAGCTAGAACATGTCCTCCTGATGGAGCAACAACACCCAGAGGCTTTCTTTATTAGCTTCTCCTGCCAGCTTGTGCCAATGGAAGGCAAAATCTTCCTACCTACTAGCTCACCATATGATCACCTGCCCCTTGAAATTTCGCCTCTAAACCCTAGATCTCCGCCGAAGTATGGTGTTTTACTTGTAATTACTAGCACAGTTGGTGCTGTGAAGTCAAAGCAGCTGTAGTATTTAACATTCTTATGCTTCCCATGCGATAAATACAAACTTTTTGTCAAGGTTACTTCTTTTTACGCAAGTATTTTTTTTTTTTTTTTACTTTTTATATGAGTAATTCTACAAGTTGTTAACATATTAATACAATAAAGTCTATCGGACAGTTGATTCTTATATTGTTTACTCTTGCCATGTAGGCCTTTGAGGAAGCCATTGCTGAGCTGGACACTTTGGGTGAGGAGTCTTACAAAGATAGTACTCTCATCATGCAACTGCTGAGGGATAATCTCACCCTCTGGACTTCTGACATGCAGGTCAGTTAATATTATACGATTAATTGGAATGCTTTATTCTGAATAGGTTTTCCTTTGATTTATTTCTTTGGATGTATAGCTATATCTAAGGCTGAAGCTCTCACCAACTAGCCCCTTTTTGGTTTTCACAATTATAGGACTTCTATAAGGTTATGAAATATTAATTCCCCGTAAGAGTTTGTAAAACTGTGCTTACTTGAACTATTGGTCCTATTGTTAAATTTTATGTAGAGTGCCTATTATATTGCTACTATAATGGGTATTTATGAACTTTAAATATGTGAAAATTAATATGTTACTGGGTGTGTTAGCACTTTTGAAATGCTGCCACTAAACATCCAGTTGAATATTAGAGCACTTTTTTCAGTTTCATTTTGAAAGTCCTTCACAAAGTCTTTTGTCCAAAAGGATTGTAAGTACTGAGAAGCTACGCCAAACGGCCGGTCCAATTGTTTTATTTATTTTATTTTTTTGTGGTAAAGCAATTTGGCCCCTGGATTATGAAAATATTGATTATGGTACTTATATTTTGACAAATTAGTCAAAGTGGCTCTTTCATTAAAAACATAAATTAGTTATTTCACTGACATTAACAAAGGGGTCAATTTTACCAAATTTGTCAAAGTACATTTATCAAAATGAACATTTTCATAATATAGGTACCAAATTGAAAATTTTAACGTAGTAAGGGTGAAAATGGTCTTAACCCTTTTTATTGCATAGTCAGTCTTTCTGGTACACCTATCTTTTTTGGCCAAACTTGGTCCCTGTTTGCAACTATATTCATAAACAATTGGATGTAAAGCATAATGAAAACAAAAAACTGAAACTACTCTCCTATGCTGCCACTAACCACACTTGGAAAAGCTACGAATTTGATTTGAAGATTTTAAACGAAACATAGCTAGCACAAATGTTAAGATTGTCCGTGCAATGTTTCATGGGGTGGTTTTTTCAAGTATCATTTGCTTATCTGAGACCATAGCTAAATTTTTATGTTGGGTTGATGCAGGAGCAAATAGATGAGGCTTGACCAGATGTGTCAGTCTGCTCCTTGAAGGAGGTGGGCGTGAATGTCATAAGTTGTATAATAATCATATATTGCCTAACATATGACGTATATTCTCATATTTATATAGGTTGTAACTGTAATGTAATAATTTGATTTGCAAACTGGATTGTCATTTCAGTTCTGTTGGTTGCCAGAAGTTGCTTCTCACAATTTTTTACTTGTGTCCTAAAAATTTAAAAACAAAAAGCGAGTATAGAATGGTGACAATGGGGCAGGCATAATTTGAACTTTGGACCATAGGCAGTGGACAGAATAGCAAGATTATAGAATTTTTGGACGTGTTTTCTGTTTTGTAAAATTGTTTCATAAGACAATTCTTGAAAATACAGTTTGAGAATTCTTTTACCTCTTCATGTGGTATATTTTGAAAATGTTATTATTTATATTTCTTTTTAGGAGGGTGTGCTATTGGTTACATTTTGTTTATAGGAAGGTCGAGAAGGACGAAGAAAGCCAAAAAGAAAGCAATGAATGTCTTGAGAGGGGGGAAAAAATTCTCTTTGAAAATTCATAGGTTTGATGAAGTGGAAAAGGGAAGTGGGTTGTGTTGGATTTTTGTTTTTCTGCATATACTAGCACTTATATGCTGTGCCAACTGTCCAGAGCTACAGGATAACTGCTCAACTAGAGTTCTTGTTAATCCATTTCAAGAATTTTAAACAGAATTAGAGGGCAAAAGAGGCGGCTAAACTGCTCAATCTTAAGCTGTAAATTATTTTAAATAAAACTGAGCAGTCAAGAACCAAAAAAAAAAAAATAAAATTGAGCGGTCGATTAGCGAAATCAATAACACTATAATGCTCAAACCAATTTCTGGAATAAATTTAGAAACACTTCCAACAATTAATGACAGTCTAAAATCGTTGTGTACGAATTTAGAGACTATAAAGTGATTCCAATCTCTAAAGGTGTGTTATTATATTTGTTGTGCTTTGAGTTCAGAAACTCGTACACATGCAACTTTATATCATGTGTTTTTATCAAACACATGATAACTATAATGTGATAATGGTTTAAATTTGATATATAGAGTATATCAGTTAATATGTATAAAATCCCTTATTTGTATAATTCCAAATTTATAATAATCTCAAATTTTAAATAATTATAAATTTGTAACGATTCGTGATCTATAGAGAAATTTGGACAGTTTTTTTCTTTCCCTTTTTTTTTGTGTGAGAATTTTTTCTTTCTTACTACCAATGCTCAATTCAAACCATTAGAAAGTTTGCCGGGGTTCGGCCCTAAAAGAAAAGAATTGAAAAAATAAAAAAAGGAATGAGTTTCACAATAAGTGTTTTCCGGTCTAGACCGAAAAGATTTTGGCCGAAAATTGCGTGAATATGGTAAAAAGGAAGGCACAAATGTGTCACGCTTCATGACAACTCCGGAAAATAAAGTAGGAGTACCTTAATTGGGCCGGCCTGAAGAACCTCGACAGCCCAAATTAGGGACTAACCTCCTTTTTTTTAATTTTTTTTTCATAATTAGCATTAATAATTCAAGGGTGAAAGGAAGAGTTTTAAGAAATATAACATGGAATTCCTGACATGATAATCCAGAGAAGAGAAATCAAATCAAAGTCTTAGATTCAACGAATATCGAAAATTAAAAATCAAAATTAAACCCTTGATAAACTGTAGTATAATACCATCTTTCATATTTCTACACGCTTATCTTTTTCTAGCCAAGAGTTACTAGAGTTTCGCCTTTTCCCTCTTATGAAACTTTCTCTTTCTCTCTCCTCTCTATAGATAGATACAATTTTCTCAATTTATCTTCTCTTTCTCTCTTCCTCTATCTCTTTATTTTCTCATTGTCTAATTATCTTCAATATTATCCTTTTTGCTACAAAATTCTATTGGACTGCTGATTGAAATTTCAGCCAACAGGGTAATAAGTAATCAGTGCAAGGCCCAGTTAACATACTTCTGAACACGTGGATTACGAGCCAGGATGTCTAGTCCTTTTTCACTTGTATGTCCGGGCCTCTCGTTCCATAAATCCAAGCTAGTGTCATCTGTGGTATTTATCTCTTTCGAGTAATTTACATGGATCTTTCCTTCCTTCCACCAGTGACGACCAGACTGCCACTAGTAAGCTTCTATTTACCACGTCTGAACTGGTTTATTAACTCCGCATCATCAAGTTTCCCCGTTGAATTAAAATTTAGGCAAATGTTATGTCACACCCTAAACCCGCGCATTTGACAGGTACTAAGACTAGCATTCCAACTCTAATAAGCTTTTGATCGAAAATAGAATTACAATATCAACTAGTACAATGTCACAACCGGAAAATAGAGCTGCGACTGGCGCAAGAGTTAGAATAAATTCCAACTCCGCAATCCCTACATATAACTGAACATATTTTTGAACCAAAGTCTCATATACAATCAAAAACAAAATCGTGCCTAAAATCTTAACTAAACTGTTAGTATATCCACAGAAATCTGTTTGTAGCCAAATAGAGCTATTTGTAGAATCTAGAAATACAAATCTGACATA